TTTTTTTTTTTTTTTTGTTCTCCTATCAACTCATAAATAGTTAAATTTTTTGGTAGAAAAGGATAATTACCATGTTTCCACTTGAAATATTGTAGAGCCCCAAGGCCCTGTCTTGGACAAATGTATTTTTCAGCAGCTCATTGTAATGTTGGTTTTGACTGAAGATCCACAAAGTTAAAATCCACACCCATCCGTAGAGAAGGGTGCATTTTCAGCCTTTAACAATAGCTTTATTTAGTAGGATTTTAATGACTCCTTTGCTTTGGACTTGCAAAGGGGGAAGATTTCTGCACTGAGAGGGGCTGTCCTGAGGATTGCAGGATGGTTTCGTGTGCCGCGCAGTCCAAGTTGACAAAGAAGAGCCAATTCCGTGGATGATGATTGTGCAAGATGGAAAAGTGCTGATAGACTGTGGAAAAATACAAGTCTGAGCCTAACCACTTTGCAAACTTGTTTAAAAAAGCAGCTTTGAGTAGCTGACCTGGTGCTGTATGGGGGCAATCTATAGTAGCAACATTGTTAGTCGCGTTAGGGCGAGCAGGCTGAGATGGGGAGGGAGAGGAGGGTGCTTAGGGTGCTTGGTTTCGTAGAGAGCAGGAGGCAGCTTTGTGGGAGTTTTTAAGTGATGGTGGTGATGGTTTGTAAGTGGGTGGTTGTATAATTTTCATATATAGTACACTTTTAAGATTTGGGTTTTTTGTAATTTTCAGTAGTCAAAGTAAAGTTTTAGGTGATTGATCAAATAGAGAAAGGAAAGCCCAAACATTTCAGCTTCAGGTTATGGTTGAGTAGACTTTTGCTGACATCAGAAATTATTAATTGCATCAGCTAAATTACAAAGATGTTATCTTGGCTCTGGGAGTCAGGAACACCGTAATTAGGGCTGTTAGATTCCCCATTCTGCTTCCTTGCTTTTGACTTTAACCATCAAGGCACTGGATCAAGGTAAAAGTGAACTAATTTATGTGGAGGGCTTGGGGTTGTTTCAAGAACAATGTGAAATAGAGATACCTCAATTTGTGAACAGATGCTGACCTCTCGAGAAGCTGCAGTCTTCATCTGCGTGCAGATACAGACATGGAGCGGTGTGTCCTATACTGTTGAATATTACACCAAATACGGTGTGATGGGCTTCTTGGGGGGAAGAGCTTTTAACGTAATGGATCATTGACAGCAGGTTAAACAGTGTATGTGCTTTAATTGCATTACTTTTTAGCAGTATATGTTGTATGCTCATAAAGTTGCTTGCATTGGCATCTAATTTACAAAGTTCAGTGAATTCTACATGCATCTCACTTGCATTAAAACTGTCTCTAGTGTTACTCGAAAGGACAGCATCAGTAATTGTTTATGTAGGTTTTAAAAATTACTTTAAATTTCTTAAGATGATGTGTTTTCTTGTTCTCTTACATTCTATTGTTCTTCTAGCTAGAGGCTGACCCCTCCCGCCCCCCTACGGAAGTGATTTTTTTTTAAAATAAAACAAAACCTGAGATGTCTGATTTTAGCTGACACAGCATCTTACCTTGTCAGAACAGCCGTGTGCATCAGTATCATCGCTTGGGGTCATCAGCATGCCTACCAGAGCTGTGTTGCTTAGTTTCTGGCAGCCAAAATGCTAGACATCTATTTTTGGACCTCAGAATAGCTAATCTATTTTAATTTAGTAACAGATTAGTAAACTTGAAAATAGAGAGTTTGAGTCGTTCATAGTCTCCATCAGAAAATAAAAAACTTAAAGCCCAGGCTATACTTAAGGAGAAGCCACAACCATCAATGTATTCAGTTGCATGTTTCTACCTTTGTCCTCAGGCACATGTCCCAGTTCAGAAGGGCATTCAAATATTTCCATAATGCCTTAGATTGCCCAACTGAAGTCAACAGGACTGGTTGATGCCAGTAAAACTACTTATGATTAACATTAAATGCATTCTTTAGAGGCTGACAAACTGGGGCTTGTGACAGTTTCAGAATGGTGAATGGTTGGAAATGTAACATTTCTGTGCATTCAGGATGGAACTATGAGTTATACAGAAGAACGTTATTGGTTTGGGGTTTTTTTTGGGCCATTGCCATATCTCCATGAGAAGGAAATTAAACTCTTAAACATGGAAAACATTGGCATTGCTGATATTATTGTTATTATGATTTTATTATAGGTTCAGAAATAGAAAAGATGTTAGTTGCTACACAAAACTTGGGAAAATGAGGAGCATATTCTTTTATGCAGTTATTTTTATAACTGGTTTGTAACCTTATTTATAGACTTATAAAATCTAGGAATTGTAATTGCTTTATGTTATAGGTTTTGAAATAGAAGTAAATATCCGTTATAGGGCCTGTTTTCAAAAACTGAAATTTAGAAGTAATATAACTTTCAATATTTTGCATTATAATACTTAATTGCCTACTCTGAAAAAAAGGTGCTTCAAAGAAATCTTTCAATTCTTTTCCAAGTTTTCAATTTTCCCATACTAGGCATTGGGGGGAAAAAATATTATTTTCCCCCCCTCCGCCCTTTACATTCCATGGATTTCTTTGTATGGTCAGCTCATCTTTCATTCAGTTATGCTGAGGAAGATTTTGGAAAACAGCAAATAAAACTAATGTGTGGAATCTGTCTGGCTGGCTTTCTCAGACTCAATGGGTCTCACATTGTGTATGGAGTTTTATTTTAACATGTACTTCTATTTTGTATTACAGCGGGTTCCCCTTTAAAAATATCCAGATGAAGGCAAATCTAGACGAAAAAAAATGATATCTTTCCTTTAAATTGTAGCATCATCAACCCTGTAGACTACAGTGTTTCTTTCCGATCGGGAGAGTTGTAATGTCTATGGATTTATCAAATAGTGTTTGGAAAATCTGTCTGCAAAGCCAGGGCCTTGCCTGTGACTGGGACACTCCTGGAAGTCAATCAGAACTGGCAGGAGTGTGTTTTTGTAAGTTGGAGGACACCAGATGAAGGGTCACCTCAAGGCTCCACGAGTTGGAGCCTGCAGCAGAAGTCAGCGGTTGGTCCCGGTGTCTGTCCCTGTCCATCCCAGTCCCTCCCCATCCCTGTCCTCTGCCAGCAGAGCAGCGTGGCTGAGCACTCCCAGATTTCCTGAAGGCACAATCAATCCAGCTTGCTGAAACTCTTGATCTGAGCTTCCCAGCTGGCCTTGTCTGCAGTGATACGGGGAGAACTGGCACAAATGACTGTGCTGGCAGATTGACGAGGACCGTAACTGGGAACAAAGCGGTAGCAAAGAGCAGCGGGCAATAACCCTTTCTGCAGGCATGCAAAGGAGCGCGTCCCCGTGGCCACTGCTGTTCCTGTGGTTCAGAAAAAAAAAGCTGTCCTCAATTCCCTGAAAGGTCTTACATCGCTATGGGTGAGCAAAATATTCCCAAGTAAGCAAAAAGCAATTAAAAATTGTTAAAGCCTTGTTAAAACCCATACGCGTAGCTGTTTTGTAACACTAAGTGAGAAAAATGAAGTGCTTTTCATTTCAAAGTTGCTAAAGGTTATCTAGTAAGGCTATATAGTAAGGCAGTGGTAAAGCTATGAATAAAATTCAAGAAAGCAGACATACATTGCCTTTGTTTACATAGTTCAATTACATAACACGCAGTTCAATTTTAAATGCATATATTAAATATCCAGTATATCAATTTGTGAATGGCTTCCACTCTATGGTCAAAAAACTCACTGCAATCTCTTTTTTGCTTTACAAGTTTGTAAAGCAAACAGAAATGCAATGGTGAAGGGTCTGGAGCTCCCAAAATCCAAGGCCGTAATGATAAATAGCTAGAAAACTGCCAGGAGATGAGCTCTTACCGCTAGATTTCACAGATGATCTATGAAATATGTATTTATGCATTTCCAGCAGTAGTTATCCATCAGTGGACTGAAATGTTGCCACAGAGGTAGTTACAGGACAGTGTTTCAATCCCACCTTTATTGTTCTTGGAGATGGAGCACTTGTAAGCCAGTTTATAAATCTCTTCCTCAAGCAGCTTATTTTTAAGGGCATTTTAGGAGTGGAGCATCTGGCTTGACTTCTAGATCATTTGGATTTTGTCTGTTCTAACACTCAAATCGCTTCAGGCATGGACATTTTTTGTTGGTGCTTTCCGTGTCCTAAACTTCCAGTTATGCATTTCTCATTTACTAGAAAATGTTGAAGCTATCACACGCTGGAAGAAGGTAGTCCTGAATAGTAAGCTGTTAATATGTCTCCTTGCAAAGGATGTGTTGTACGGCTCGGGAGGGTTATGTGCCATCTGAACAACTAGACTTTCAAGTACTAAAAATTTCTGAGACTGGTGATGCTGTAGATGGTAGATCCAGGTTGTTGCCCAGGTCTATGTAACAACAGATTGCTTCAGGATGAATTTTTTCCTTGCATTTAAGTTCCATCTCTGCATTACGGCTTAGCAAGCCAGTGCTACGCCTACCTGGAGATGCCTTCTTACCACCACCTTCCCCTGCACTGGGGCTGCAGGCATAAATTTCGAGGGTCACAAACTTTCAATTGAGTCCATAAGAGTTGCATCATTGCTACTACCGGCTTAATGATGGTATACATTAGGCTTTGTGGCAACCATATAGTCAATGAGCTGTACGAATTTAGACTTGAAGTACAATGAAGGTAAGTTAGAAAAATGAGCATACCATCTTCATTTGGCAACCGCAAGTAGGATATGGCTTGCAGAAATAATACTTTTCCTTTTGAATGATGTTTTATCTTTTGACCCTTGTTTTCTACCTTTATTGTGCTTTTTCTCCAGCTGGGATGACAGCAGCTCTGTCAGCAGTGGGATCAGTGACACCATAGATAATCTCAGTACTGATGACATTAACACTAGCTCTTCTATCAGCTCCTATGCCAACACACCTGCCTCCTCCCGCAAAAACTTAGATGTACAGGTAAGATTTCTGGTTTAGACAAGTAACATTGATATTTATTATTTTCTCTGTGCAATGGGTCTAATTGTTTTAAGTTGGATGAACTTGGAACACACAGCCAGCCTTCAGTATGGATGGTATCACTGAAAAGGCAACGTCAAGCAATAGTAACCACCTTATCACGTGGCATTTACGAGTATTTCCTCTGTGCATGGAATCTGTGGCATCTCTGCTGCAGTGGTGTGGCAACAAATGGCTTCTGCCTTCTAGCAGCACTGCTGTACAGAAAACATGCGTCAGTAGGTGGGATTTTCTTTTTTTTTTTTTAGCTCTAGAAAAGTTATTATGTTTTTTGTTAAAGAATAGAATTTAATTAAGTCAACATGAAAGTTTAAAGATTATTTACGTTTCCATCGGAAATGTAAGTGTGCTAGGCAAATGAAATAGATTATTTTAAAATTCCAGGGCTGCGTGTTACTGCAGGCTTTCTATTTTTGGCAGCATTTCATAGGAGGATAAATTTTACGTCCATCAGCAGCATACATGTACATTTTGTGCTCAGACACCACACATCCAAAGAGGGTAAAACAAGTGAAGGTATCCAACAGTTTTTCGTTCATCAATTAGACTGCATAGTACAAAGATTTGCAGTAATATAAACTGTTTTTTCCTCAATTGTATAGAATTTTGTTTGGAAAAACTTGGTCCAGCTTTGGTCTTTGTACACCCACCTGCTCTAGGGACTCAGGTGTCAAAGCAGTGACTTGGCATTGCAGCAGGTAGAGGAGAGGGATGTTTCTTTCCTCTTTTATTCTTCTCCAGCCCTTCTCATGACTGGACCCTAAATCTGGTTTTAATATCAGTTTTAATGTAGACGTGTGGTTGCTGTGAAGTGTTACTCTGCCTACAGGACTGTGGTGCAAGATATATTACTCTTTGTTCCCTTGCCACGAAGCGCATATTTGAGCCTACATTAAAGATTTCCAGTTAGCCTCTGGTTGTGTATCAGCTATTGTATGTGTGCTCGAAACTGCTAATACAAGTCCCATACAAGTTGAGAGGAGTTAAGATCTATGAAGTGTGTTTTTCAGTACGTAACACAGAGTGTAACATAGACAGCTAGAAATACTTTTTTGACAATTGTTACTGTCTCAACATTGTAACACTGTTGGGGGAAAAGGAAGAAAAAGGGAGACATGACTAAACATTAACCTAAGGAAAAAAACAGAAACTCATTTGACTTCTATCTTCTGATGGATCAGATTCTTGGAAACACCTCTGAGAGATCAAAATCTGTGTTTGACGAACTCCTCTTCCTCCTCCACAACTCTTACAGCATCCAAGAGAGTGCAGACATACTCCAGAAGAAGAGCAGCTGAAGCTTGTACAGACAGTAGAGCATAGTCATTAGAAGACGAAGCTGGGAGCTAAGACATACAAGTTGTGTTTGCAGTTTTTTGATGTGTGTCTGTGACCTGCTTCTCTCCTCAGTTTTCATGGCTGACAATATTTATTCTAGGTATTACTGTTATCTGTGAATTATTATCCATAAAAAACTTTGTTTTCATTTGAACAGAATATCCTAATCTTGTCAAGCAAGGGAATGCAAATAGAAATAGCTTGGAGTGATGAAACCAAGCATAGCTTGCAGGGTTGATTTTTTGCTGCCCAAAGTAGTCCTCACAGCTCATGAAACAGCAAATGCTGCATGTATGCCTTTTCTGTCTTACCTGGAGTACTGTATGGTGGCCTGTGGCCAGGTTTGCATTCCCTTTGTGGTGAGCCACAGAGGACCGGCAGACATCTGCATAGGGATGTGGACTTTTCTTCTCAGGGTATCCACTGCTTTGCTGCTTCTAAATAGCAGGCACTTAACTTTTAAGCTGCTGTGATTCTGCCACATGTTTTTGAGATGGTGCAGAAGTTGGAATTCAGATAATTAAAGAGGGAGCTTGAAGCTAATACATGTGCAACTGGGAGTCCAGACAAATAATACAGCAACATCAAAGGGAGAGAGCCCTAACATGTCAGTGTCTGCTGATAAAATCAGTAACTTACGGAGAATCATCTCTGCAAAAGAAGAAGACATGCTTGCAGTAGGAGAAAAGTCTCTGCTAAGAAATTGATTTTCAGAGCTGCTGAGTACCCCGTACTCCAGAAGCTGTAGTTTCTCCGTCTTTGAGAAGCAGGACTTAAATGTGATATTAACTCCATCTTCATAGACATTATAGTTGTAGCCCCTTTTTGTGACAGTGCTATGAAGATGTTTGCAAGTTAGTTCTGAACAAGCTAGTGATCGGAACTAGAATTTGCCTTACCACATTCTTTTGTCTTGCTCTGATTTATGCCAAGTACCAAACCACTTAATGTAACTATACGACTTTTGGGGCCCTAATATTTTTCCCTTATATTGCACAGACTTAGATAAGTTACCTTTTAACACAGCACTGCATATAGTATGCCTTTAAAGTCATGTCATATACATATTTTAAGGAGAAATTAAGACCTGGTGGGCATTGGAAAATAACTTACTTAACTGAAATAAGATGGAAGAGATTAAGTAATAAACTTGTTCATGTAATGCTAAAAAGATCAGAAGTCGGAAAGAAAACAATTCCTTTACATAGAAAACAGCAGCACCTTTAAGCTGTTGGATCAAGACAACTCAGTTTCATTGGAGCAAAGATGGGTTTGGTCTGTTCACAGCTTCATGAATAGATTTACAGAACTTGTAGGAATAAGTTGAGAAATCCTGATGGTTACCGCTACTGCCAGCTCGGTTGGATGGCAGGCTTTGCTCCCAGCTCGTGCTCGCTATGTCTTGCCATGACCTCCAGCAAACAACATTTCCACTTTCACCCACTGCAGGTCTTTCAGGCGGGTGGAGTTTCAGCTGCAATCCCGAAGCCAGGTTTCACTGTGTTTTGGTTTTGATTCCTTAGTCATGTTTCTGTGCTGTTCTCAGTGTTTACCATCAAACAGAAACATCTCTGGCCAGAGGGCTTCAAGGGTAAATGTGTAGCATTTCAAAGGCTACGGAAAAAGTTGGGCCGTGGGTGTAGTAGTGGAATGAAATGGAGGAGAGCAGAGATAGAGGACTTCTTGTAATGCTGGTCTCTGTGTTGAGACTGTACTATTCTTACAGATGTAAAGCAGGAGGTAGAAGCTACAGGAACATTTCATAGTCAACCAAAACTAGAATAAGCCCTTTACCAGCAAGTAGGTGTATTTCTTGCTCTCGAACGCTAACGATGTAAATAAGCATTCCAGACAAGGTACTTGAAGCAAGATACTAATGAGAACACATAAGGGATGATGTTGAGGTGGTTTTGTTGGTCCATTATTTGTTACTTCTTGCCTGTGCTCTTTTCCAAGATCTGTAAATGTAGGAGACGTTTGCATGAAATGATGATTTTAGAGAAACACAGGGCATAGAAACAGTCAGACTGTGAATTTATTGCACAGCTGCCAACGGTCATAAATAGAAAGGTAACCATCCCCAAACCTTGCAGCCATACAAAAGAAGGAAGTTAGAAAGCAGTGTTTCATTCAAGCCTATGCTGAGTTGGTGTCTTTGAATGGAGAGGCAGGGAAACGATATTTGCATAGCATGAGGAAAATACAACAAGAAAATAATATCTAAATCCATAATTCAGCAAATGCTTGTTAGCCTAATGGCTCAATATACAGACAAATAACCCAGGCCCTAACTACTTCACGTGACTGAAGAAAGACCATTATGATGTGTGGTGTCAGCTTTCACATACTGATCGCTTAGACTAGTTTTTCAGGCTTTTAAGAAAAAAGTAATTACAGTAAAAAGCAGAGGAAATTAAACCACAACCCCCCTAGATTCTTTAATATTAATGGTGTGATCTGGTAAGAAAAGAGAAGTCATAAACTTGAAACATACTTTAGGAACTTAAAAATAAAAGATAGTACTTTGCTGAAAGCATGGTAAATGATCGTGCGTCCTTTCCTTTCCTGTGCTGTGCTTTTCTGATTATCCAAAGGGAGTAAAAGGTTGTGGGCTTTATAATGCATTGGGGTATTTAAAATAATTTCCTTTTAAGTGATATTACCATTCGACTACTGCACAGTGCTGAGCACATTCATCTTCTGCTGAGGCTGCAGGGAAGAGATGGCACTCGACATCTTACCAAAATTCGCCAACTCTTACTTGGGAGCTTCATGATCAAGTGTTGAATTGGCAGAATCTTTCATGGTACTGTGATGGTTGGAGAACACTTCAACTATGAATTTTTTATCTGGATCGGGGTCAAATGTGGACGTTTTTCATTTGTGCCTGATCACAAAATAGTTGGTTGTGGCATTACAAAATTTGCCCAAATTAATCAGCAGCATGTGACAGGAGAAGTAGAATTCTGCAAGAGTAATCATTAGCAATAGAAAATGCTAATGTATGGGGAATATATTATATATGTAGGGTAATAGGTTTAATTTAAGCATTTCTGAGAATTTGGCAAAGGCTTGCTAATAAGCAAATTCTGTATTTGACGCTGATCTTTGCAAAACTCTCCATAAATGACTGGCAGCGCAATCAGTCTGTGCAAAGAATAAGGAAAAAGAGTTTGTAATAATTGAATATAAATTAAAAACTGATGTCATTTGTATATTTAAGTTAGACTTGAGTGTTGTTAGAAAGTTGTTGGGGATTCATTTTTCTTCAGTTCTTGGGTGTCCTTCTAATATGTTAGATTAGAATGAACAGCATTCCACATCTTCAGATCTGTTCCAAAAGCTGCCTCCTCATGCTCTGGAGATCAGATTGCCAGACAAGAGATAGGAAAGCAGCAGGAACAAAGGAAAGCTGGCTACACAGGTTTGAAACGTTTTTTTGGCATTGCAGTAAAAGGGTTCATCAGAAATTCGAGATGGAGGATTATAAATGTCATGGAGCTGAATATGTCCTTCATAAATCAAGTGCTTTTTTTCCCGTGGTTTTTTTTTTCTTTCTTCATTCTGAGGGGCATGACTGTTTTTTGTCTCTTTTTCCCTAGCGTATTAAAAAAATATGTCATTGCTGGGGTTCATTTCTTGCTGTGACATTTCTTTATCAAAGGTGTGTTATGTTTGTTGGTACTTAGAGATGACTGCTGAGTTCGTTAATCAGTTTGACGGTCCTCATTTATGAAGCTTCTTGAAAGAAAGGCTTGCTCTGAAGGTTGTATTACAATTCCTTATCTGTTCTAGACTGATGCAGAAAAGCATTCCCAGGTTGAGCGGAATTCCTTGTGGTCCGGTGATGAAGTCAAGAAATCAGATGGAGGATCCGATAGCGGCATAAAAATGGAGCCAGGATCTAAATGGAGGCGGAATCCCTCTGATGTGTCGGATGAATCAGATAAAAGCACCTCTGGTAGGAAGAACACTGTTATTTCGCAGACGGGCTCCTGGCGACGGGGCATGTCAGCTCAGGTTGGCATTACCACACCAAGGACTAAACCTTCAACCACCTCAGGCACATTAAAGACACCTGGAACAGGTGAGAAAAGGTGTAAGATATAAACAAGCCAAAAAATGCGTTCGGTGTGAAAACAGTTTAAATACTTTCCAGAGGCAGAACCTGAACTTCAGGTAATCCTGTCTTTATTTTTAGGTATTGTTTTAACCTATGCAGCATCTCCTATGTCCACATTTCTACTTCTGTTTATTTGAAAATGCATATTTTGGTTTAGTACACCGTGAAAGTTGTTTTCATGACAACTCTAGTCTTACGCCAAGCTATTTATTGGGCATATGAAGAATAAATAATATAATTTCAGCTTTTGAAGTCACGGTTAACTTTAAGAACATACAGTATGTGTGGTTGAGGAGATTTTTTTTTTCCCCCCCCCATACTAAACCAGCATGTTAATTTATACTAAACACGATTTAGTTCTGGATTTTCTTATAAATGTATTAGTGATTTTAGCACCTGCAGATGTGTGAATGAAAATTGATTGAATTTGCATAATCAAGTAATATAAGTTAATACCTTTCCTCTTATTTGATCGTGTACGCAATTGTACATGAAAAAGTTGAAGTTAGACACTTCTTGAACAATGCCTTTTAGGAAAATTATACTAATGGCCTAACACTACTTCTGTCTAATGATAAAAAAGGATCAATCTGTGGCAGCTACAGAGGGAAACATATTTTTTCTTATCTGTCACTATTACATAAGACTGTTCTGCTTTTCATATTCTCGAGGGCAAACACACCACACACTTTCTCTGGCAAGTCTGCATGTATAACTCACTAGAGTGGCATGTAAGTTCAGTGCAGACTAGATCATAATTTTTAACCACACTTTGGTGGCTAACACGCTTTTGCTTTTCATGCTGCTTTGAGTTTCATCATTTGCTTGATGTTTTCATTAAATATTAGAATTCTTTTTCTATTTTTGTAGGACGCCAAGGTATCAGAAAAGGGTAGACTATCTCCCAAAGCTGGACATGTTAAACGTTCCCCATCAGATGCAGGACGCAGCAGTGGTGATGAATCCAAAAAGCTTCCCACAAGTAACTCTAGAACAACTGCTGCTAATGCTAATACATTTGGATTTAAGAAACAGAGCGGGTCAGCCATAGGCATGACTATAATCACTGCCAGTGGGGCAACTATCACCAGTAGATCAGCTACCCTGGGAAAAATCCCAAAGTCATCTGGACTCATGGGTAGGACCACTGGTCGGAAGACTAGTGTTGATGGCTCACAGAACCAGGATGATGGCTACTTAGCACTTAGTGCCCGAACTAATCTTCAATATCGTAGTTTACCCCGGCCCAGTAAATCCAGTAGCAGAAGTGGAGCTGGGAATAGATCTAGCACAAGTAGCATAGACTCCAACATAAGCAGCAAGTCAGCCGGGTTGCCTGTCCCTAAAATGAGAGAGCCTGCCAAGGTAATCCTTGGGAACTCTCTGCCAGGATTAGTCAATCAGACTGATAAAGAGAAAGGGATTTCGTCTGACAACGAAAGCGTGGCCTCATGTAATTCTGTAAAAGTGAACCCTGCATCACAGACTGCTTCTAGCGGAGCTCAAAGTACTCACCAGCAAGGAGCCAAGTACCCCGATGTGGCCTCTCCCACTTTGCGCAGGTAGGCAATAAATTCGTTGATTGTGCAATGGTGTTAGTCGGAGCTGAATGATCAGGACTCTTCCAGCCAGGCCTGGCTGTGTTTTGTGGAGCACTTACTATTTAGTGTCCTATATCAAGGTCTTTGTATTTACATTTAATTTCACATAAACAGGTTGGCCAGTGTTGTAAATACTCAGTGCATCACGTGATAGCAGCAAAAATTTAACATTTGGGAAAAAAAAACCTGTCTGGCAGAAAGTTTGGCAATTGTGATACGAGTCTCTGTTACAAAAATCATACCTGAAGGCTTTGTCCATGCAGATATCGCAGGAATAAGAGTTTTCTTACCTGAAAGTTACTGAAGAGTTGTTTCACCAATGTATATGTAACAAACCTGGAAATACTCCAATGGTGGATCAAATTATAAATTGACAACAGGAGAGTTATTTCAGATTTTTTTTATGACAGATGCATAATGTAGATCCACATGCCTAACCCAAACCAATCTTTCAGTTGTGTGGATTAGGCCAGTGTGTTGCGAGACTCATAACATCAGGTTATTTGACTGTGTAGAAGAACCCGAAGTAAAGTTACTGTCTAAGCTGGGTTGAATTTTCTTATTTTAATAATATTTTTTTAAACAAAAATCTTACCTGTCTTCTGTTTCTCCACCACTGCCCCACACACGCTTTTAACATTAATATTGAGTTGGTCAGGAATTAATTTGTTGATGCAGTGTGCATCAAAGCCTCGATATTGATTCAATTTAATTTGACATTGGGTAGCTTGTCTGCTTCAAGTTGCGGTGTTTTGCATTTCATTTTGTCTTGACGCCCATAATACCCATACGGTTATGCTACATCATCCTGCTTCCAGTGATGTGAGAAAGCCGCATTCCATCTGAAGCACCAGTGCAAGCATAATGGCTGTGATGGCAGTTTAGGCTAATGCTGTAAAGGGTTGTAAACGGTTTCTTTTTAGATGGGTGGTTTTATTTGAAGAACCTATGTGAGGATAATTCAAGATACTTCCTTTATTTTATTCCTGGTTATTATAAGATAAGCCATGTCCTTTAGAACATCTCATTTTCAGCAATAGCTACTTAAAAAGAAAAACTCCAATGGACCTTTCATTTCTATAGTATACCCATGAGAAATGCAGATTTTCAGTATTGCAAGCCTCAGGCACATTAATCTTGAAATTTGATTGGAAATTTTTTTTTGATTACTAGAAAGCCATGTTGCTAGCCATGTAATTGAAGTACTACGTTAGAAATACATGAAACTTCAAAGAGAAGACACTGAGGCCCAATTTAACTATTCCCTCATTTGATTTACAATTTCACTCTTGAATTTTCACCAGACTCTCTAAATAGTCACGTATTGAAATGCGTCAGAGTTGCATTTGGCCTCGTCTGCTTACTACTGATTTCTAGAATGACAATTAAGAAGATTTTGAGCTTAATTTTGATGGTCAGTTGAGATGAGTTGCACATGTTGGTTTTTGCATGTTTCCTCTCAGCCCTGTGATTTTTTAATATTATGCAATAAATTAGAATCCATACCTTTGTAATGATACAGATTTACCTGCAAGTCTGTGAACATAGGTAACTTCTGTGCTGTCATAAACAGTGAAATTCTGTAATTCTGCCATGAGGGCCATCCCTGTCTCTCTTCTCTCAGTATTACCTTTAGCTCTGGTATTATGTCTCTGGCATGTCCCTTAAGTGAAACCATTGTTTATCTTGATACATTTTATTATTAAATTGGGCCTTCATGCTTTGCAGTATATAATACACAGCTTTTCTGTTAAGGGGAGACATGCGTGACCCAAGAGCCAGCTCAGATATGTCAGTCTCTTGTCAATAATAGTGGATAGGAGTAAACAGATATCCTTCCTTGTAGGGGATGTCCTTCCAGAGTTGATCCCTGTACTGATGTGACTGTCTTGCTGGGTTAGACTTTCTCTGGACCGAAAGGAATGCTCTCCAGACCACATCCTCTTCTGAAGGCGTTTGTTACGAGGTTGTGGTTCGACCAGACGCTGCCTTTGTTTGTGCCGCAGTGCAGCATCCTTTCAGTTGTATTAGAGGTGCTGTGAAATAGTTTGGGGAAGACTGCGTAGCTTAAAAACAGCTTGTAAAACTGTTGTGTGGGTGGTTGGAGTTTTTTTAAGCTCTAGGATCCTATCTCTAAGAGTGCCGTTCCCCCAGTACAACTGGAGAGGTGGCATGCAATGGCATAGGAGCAGGAATACACTAAGCTGGTATTGCTGCTGAAGGCCATGTATCACTGCAGTATGGTTTGACATTTTTCTTCATACTTGCTCTAATAACATTAACTCTAAATAAAACCTAAAATGTCTCTAAATCCCCATAGGAATGGGTTTTATCATTTGAAGCCTTTTGTTTGTCTAAGTCAGTGTCTCCTAATCAGTGAGGTGTGATGTGGAGTCCAGGTGAACCAAGTTTGCCAGATCTGCGCTGGTTTGTGGATGTCTGCATTGCTCTCTCTACATCAGGTGCCGAGAGGATCATGGCACAGATACTAAAGCAATGCTGGATTATAAGATAGATGTAGATGGGCACTTTAGCCTGATCCAGCAGTGTTGTCCAGGAGCTTTGTGGCAAGTATGCAACAGCAGCCATCCATTTGAGATGTGTTCCAGGCATCTTGCACAGGTACACCAGAGCTGCAGGTAGCACCCATGCAGTAAATACAGTGCTTCTGGGCAGCGCTGCACTTACTGCACGTGTGCTGTGGGGTGCCCAGCTGTATTACACAGCCTGTGTTTCTGGGAAGTGTTGACAAAGTGACTTAGTGGGCACGTGTTGTACAGACAACCTGGGCATACTCAAAAGCAGAGAAAGTTCTGCTCGGTGCACGCACACCCATAAGTCTTCAGGAGCTCTTGTATAGAAGCACTGTAGTCCTCTATTCTGAGGACTACAGTCTGATAGATAGCCGCTTTGAAAGATTTCATCCCCAATACTCCACACGGTTGATAAGAAAAAAGCAAATCCATGTAGATACCTGTGAGGAAAACGAAGGTTCCAAAGGCAGCTACAGGAGCTGAGTGGCAGAAACAGAAGCAACATCTTGGGGTGGATGTTTGAAGCTGGAGTCAAAAGCTACATTTCCTTCGTAATTTTGAGGATCGGTTTTAGAATGATCGGTAATCTGGTCTTAAGCATGTTTACTTCTAAGACATTTTTGGCAAAAGTGATGCAAATTGGAGAAGCTGCAGTTATCCTCCTCCAGCCGTGCTTTTAGATCCCCTCCCTTGCACTAGTTCTGGCACTCAGCTGGTCTTTTACTGAGCCAGTTCCAGGTGCCAAACCAGGTAAAATCTCATTCTCCACTCCAAAAAACAGTTTCCAGCTAGCTTGGCTCCTGAAATGAGACAAACCTACTTTTGATACCAGTAAATATTTTTCCTGTTACATCCCAGCAAATGCTGCTTCTGAGCAGAGCATTCAGTGATTTGCACAGAATTTACCTGGACAACAAGCTTTCAATCTCTAATATTCCATGCTTTGGATTAAACAATGCAGTGTTTCTCTGGTATCCCTTTTCCTTAAGGAGCAGAAGACAATATGGCTGTATTTTAGCTTTGTGCAAGTAATATTTGATGATTTAGAGAAGAAACACCTAAGATAGATTTGAAGCTATTGTAATTGTCTCTGGACTTTATTGAAGGTGGCATGAACACAAGGAGATTCGTAACTTTATAGTTGTGTATGTCCAGTGTAGGATCACTTACTTAATGTTGGTTTTCTGAAGCTAAGATGATGTATGGTCTAGATGTAAAATATCCTTGCATTTAATATTCCATTTTATGTATTTTTCATGTTGTCTTTTTTTACAGACTTTTTGGTGGCAAGCCTAGTAAACAAGTTCCCATCACAACAGCTGAAAATATGAAAAATTCGGTAGTCATCTCCAATCCTCACGCTACTATGAGCCAGCAGGGTAATCTTGATTCACCATCTGGCAGTGGTGTGCTGAGCAGTGGGGGCAGCAGTCCTCTGTATAGTAAAAACACGGATATGAACCAATCTCCACTAGCTTCTAGTCCCGGTTCAGC